TAAAAGTGAAAACCTGAAAATCAAATGGTGACTGATAATTTCAGTGTACGCCTGTAATGAGCTGCCGGCTATTAAGATGAAAGATGAGATGACTTTGGGATGAATCTTGTCAAATATCCATCAGCGGGGTTTGACATTAGTTCACACAAAAAACTAAAGTCAAATATTTCAGCTTTTTTTTTTTTTTTTTGGTGGGGAAAAAAACGGTGACAAGAAAATGGCCTCTTTTCTTTCTTTCTCACTTCAGTTTGGCTGCATTCTTCCTTTTTACCAGCTGGATAATGACTGATTGTGCTGGTCGGCAGAGAGGACGGTTATCACACGACAGAGTCAAATCGCCGTATTGTCCTCGCCTGTCCTCGTAGGGGCTCCTTCATTATCAACTCCTCCAATCTTCCGTTGCCTCCCAAACAAAAGGCTCGCGGCGGATGAATTATGAATGTCAGGAGAGGAGATATCATTCTGCTCCCATGCCTGTTCCTAATTAAAAAGGACACGATTAAAAATGCATCCATTAGGATAGGTTGGGTCCTGATCACTTGTTACATTATTAAACAGGCTGATTATTGTTCTGTGATTTAGACACTAGAGCACTGGGTCATTAATAGGCTCTTGGACAGGTGTTGACGATTTTTGGAATTAATCAGGTGACAGAAAGCTGAGTGTCATTTATGTCGTCAGTGTCATTTTGAGACTTGTTTTTGGTAGCTTTTATTGTCAGCAGGCTCTTGCTCAAGGACAAACATCCTGTCATCTGTTAAAGATTCATGTTTCTCCTGCGCTGTGTGATGGCTTGGTGTCTCCGATTTAAATAAGAAAGGTGCTTAAAAGCAGAGAAGTATGGCCTGTGTACAGTCACACTAAATATGTCTTGTAGTCCTGTTTCAATGATCTCTTTTTTCTCTAAATCTGAAATTTGTAAACCTCTCCAGGAATACTTCACCCATAAAATGACCATTTGTAGATCATGCATAGTCATGCTGCTGAAAACTTACTATTTAACACTGAACAGAAAGTTAACCAGTGAAGCGAGACTTCAATACTAAGGGTTTTTTTGTGAAAATGCATGTGTTTGTGAAGTACTGTGCATATCACTGGATAAATGAGCTGGATTACACTGCATGATTTGTGTTTTAGTTTCTAAACTGATGTTTTGATATAGTTTTGGTCCTCAGTCGATCAATGAATCAATATGTTTGCTGTTTTTCATGAAGGCATGCAAGAAGAACAGAGTTTTCTTCATGAATTCAAGGTAACAACACATGACTAATTGATCTACAACAATTGTCAGGGAAGTGTTCCTTCAAGATCATTCTTTTAAGTGTCAGAAGAAATATTAGGAAGCAGTTTGGGTTTGATGTTATAAATGGGACATTCTCGGTAAAAAACAACTCAATTGCTGGGGAAAAAAAATCACTTGGTCATGGTTATCAAAAGATCAGATTTTGGCTTGAAATATCCAGTTTTGGTGGCACAGTCCTGGCGGGAAAGCTGTGATGTCTCAGTAAAGAACAGCTGCTTTTCAAGGCTGGAAAAGCAGCAACAGGTTGCTGAAAGTCAACCTTATTGTTGTTTGTTGGTCTCGAACAATGGCCTGTAGCTTGGTAGGCGTCCCCCCCTACGTGTCACACCATCTACCGTCCCCCCCACCTCCCAATTAAAACAGGGTTCCCAAGGATCCTTAAAAAACCATATAAGGCAATTAGTATTAAAATGGCTCAAATCAATCTTTTAGGAGTCTTAAAAAAAATCTAAAACATTGGAAGTGGGATTTTATTAATAGTTTTTCTGACATTGCATCGTAAAATCTCAATATCTTTCGTGTTATGTTTTTGTTTTGTTTTTTAATTATTTGCCAAATGCCTCTCACGTTAACTATCATGCATGTCAGGATAGAAGAACGTACAACAGTCATATACATTTACCACTTCCAATCTAACAACAAATTGACAAGTTTTTATCAAGCTTTTTCAGCATCTTAAAGGGATAGTGCACCCAAAAATGTAAATTCAGCCATTATCTACTCACCCATATGCCGAGGGAGGCTCAGGTGAAGTTTTAGAGTCCTCACATCACTTGCAGAGATCCAAGGGGAGAGGAGGTAGCAACACAACTCCACCTAATGGAGGCTGACGGCGCCCCAGATTCAAACGTCCAAAAACACATAATTGAAACCACAAAATATCTCCATACTGCTCGTCCGTTGTGATCCAAGTGTCCTGAAGCCCCGACATAAAAAGTTGTTTGGAAGAATGTCATTTCAAATGACGTTTTTCCAAACAACTTTTTGAATTTGAATCTGGGGCGCCGTCAGCCTTCATTAGGTGGAGTTGTGTTGCTACCTCCTCTCCCCTTGGATCTCCACAAGTGTTGTGAGGACTCTAAAACTTCACCTGAGCCTCCCTCGGCATATGGGTGAGTAGATAATGGCTGAATTTTCATTTTGGGGTGCACTATCCCTTTAAGTAGATCGTATTTCTTTCTACTTTGGCCAAAAAAGTCATGTTTTATGTTACAAAAAAATGATTTTGGTTCATGATGATGTTTTTTTTTCCTCTTAAATTTTGGTTATTGTAAAACTGGTGTTAATTTTCGTTCCAAATGGCAGTAAAAAAGTCTTAAAAGTCCCAAATCTAACTTGCTTTAAGCTGTGAGAGCCCTGGACAAAGTCAGCTTATATATCACTTTAGAAACATCAAATGCAAAAAAAATTTCTTAAACGTACAATTCCAACATGTTTTTTCGCGGGTGGCTGGCCTGGGGAAAAAGTAAAGCTGTTTACTTACTTTAGAAGTGATTTGAAGCCATTTTACCACAAAGAAACAAAAAAACAACAAACACTGAGTCATCAGTTTGTTACTCAAGTGAAGCTGGAATCATGCGTCTGTGTAAATATCCGTGAATCTCATAAACGCCGATTGGTTTGATCCAATACAATACAATCTCCATGTGTAAGTATCAAGGAAACAACCACACCAACATCTCAGAGCGCTCCCCGCACACACTCACCTGTGCTCAGCCTGATGAAGCATGCTCCTGCCTTAATCAGAAAAACATCAATTCTAAAATGAACTTCATAATCAGGTGTGTAGCACCAAATTCTCTGCATAAGCAGTCTCTGTGGGCCCCCCCTCCTTCCTGTCTTGATCCATGTCTCTCTCACACACCTTTTGATTTTTTTTTTCCTTTTTTATGTCAGTATACCTTGATTTCTCTTTCTCTGGTGCTCCAGCAGCATGAGCAGTCACTTACTTAGAATAGATAATCCTAGTGCTTGAGGGGACTAAACCATTTTGCAGCTTAAAGGGGTGAGAGGGGCCCCAAAGAGCTTCCACTATTTTTTAAAAACAAAGATTTATTCAGTCAGTTTTAATTTAGTTACGGCACTAATTACTCAGAAGAAAAATCGCATGGTGGTGCAGTCACATTGTCACCCCACAGCAAGAGGGATCATGGTTCAAACCCCAGGATGGTGGAGCCCTTCTGTTCAGAGTCTGCGTGTTCTCCAAGTGTCACCGTGGGTTTTCTCTGGGTACTCTGGCTTCCTCCCACAGTCCAAAGACATGCAGGTTATTTGGTGACTCCAAAGTGCCTGTAGGTGTGAATGCGTGCATAAATGTTGTTGTTTTTTTTTTTGTCTGGCAACGTGTCCAGGGTGTTCCCTGCCTCTCGCCTAGTGTCAGCTGGGATAGGCTCCAGCCCCCCTGCTGCGACCCCTAACAGCATTACTAATATAATAATCTTTGTGCCGTTTGTTTCTTTCATGCCTCCCACGTGAATTCACCTATCTATCACCTGGGCTTCACTCTCAGGATGAAACTGTAAATAACCTCAGAACACTGACAGACGTGATGCTAAAGAGTGAAATTCAATTAGTTTGACTTTTACCAACTTTCACTTTGAAGCATTGACATTTGACTGAGCTCATTAAGTGTGTATAATGCCAGTGACGAGGTCACTATAAAGTCTGAGGCTTATTTTCATAAGTGTAATTAATTTGAAAAGTCACGCAGCATACAGAGAGAGAGAGAGGAAGAGGAGCTTGACTTCTGACTCCTTAATTATTTATACATTATGTTTACCAGCCTATTAGTGAAATATTCCCGTGATGGTGTGATGAATTACATCATGTGACATTAGTATGTGAGGGCATGTTTCATGTCAGCAGACCTGCTGCTCTGCAGCCATGTGTCAACATTGCCCCCTGGTGGTGGAGACTGTGTAGTGCAGCTGCAGCCTCACCTGCTGCAGAATTATTTGCTCTGCTCCTGCATGTACCCGAGCATAGCAGAGCCTTCAAACCTCAGGTTCTGGAGCAGATGGAAGAATTTATTTCAAAGCATTTCTTAACATTGAGTTTTGAGGGATTCTTCAGATTTTTTTTAAAGTGGGGTTGTATGAGGTACTTTACCATAGATAGTGTGTTACAAAAAGTAGATGTCAGTTGGCATAGGTCCAGTTTGGAGAAGCGGACTGGAGTCCAATATGGAAGCTAAGCAATTTACTGCTGTGGACACAGGGCTGCAACAGAACATACTTTAGCCACCTATAAAAAGTCCCTCCTCAATCAATATCAGTTTTAGTGCATGCTATTTCTAGAATGTTTTCACTGCTCTACCTTAATGTCAGACAGTGATTTCCAACAGGCTGTCTGATGGAAAGGTGAAGTGGTGAAAACACTCTCAATATAGCATACACTTAAACTGATATTGATTATTCCAGGTGGCTAAAATATGTTTTGTTGCTGACCCCTCCACAGCAGTACATTGCTGAGCTTCCATGTTGAACTCCAAATAATATAATGCACTAATACGCTGACGATGGATAAGTATATTTATACTACCCTACTTCAGAAAATCCAAACTATCCCTTTAAGTCTTAAAACACATTACATAAAAACACTAAATCAAAAGCTCATAATCTTAAAAAACTTTAAATAAATTGTATATGAACAAAAAATGTGACAGTGAGTGTTCAAAGTGTGACGTCTGTCCCCACAGGAGCTGTACTCCCAGTCCTACGACGCAGTGGGCGTGATGTTCGCATCCATCCCGGGCTTCGCTGACTTCTATTCCCAGACTGAGATGAATAACCAGGGAGTCGAGTGCCTCAGGCTCCTCAACGAAATTATTGCAGACTTTGACGAGGTGAGACAGCAGACTTTGAAGTGCACCCACTTCCACTTCAGCCCAACTTTTGAACATGCAGGGGACCGTCTCCGGCGTCAGCGTCGTCCGTTTTTGATTACAACTTCCAGCTTATTCCCCAGAACACTTCAGAACTGATTAATGCAAAGGCAGAGAACAGGGGAGCTTATGTCTGCAGGTTATCAGAAGGCATTTATCTCAGATAGAAAAGACACTAAACACTACAGAATACAGCACTGAGATGAACCCAGCGATGAGCTTCCTTCCACTATTAATTTCCCTGTACAGAAGGATTTGCAGGCTCTGTAATAGAAAGACTCTGGTTTGTCAGTTCAGGATTCTCTCCAAAAATATGTTCATCTCAGGGATTTTCCAGTGACAGAAAAAGTTCAAAGCAAACTAAAATATAAAATCCTCCTGCCTGAGCCATAACAGCAGAACTGCAGCGATAAAAAGAAGTGAAGTACAATACTTTATCAAAAAGTGTTCAAGTTTCAGGAGCTCCAGTCAGTTCTCCATCCTCACATGTAAGATGTTTGGTTTGCCCCACGTCAACACACAAAAGCCCACGACTGAGACCATATAAGAAAAAAAAGGAGAAACATTTATGGACCTAGTCGGTGAAGATTCTCAGTCATCCAGGTCACGGTAATCGTAAGTGCTGCTAGCGTAGGCAACTGGACTTGCTTGCATTTCTTGAAGACGTTTCGCCTCTCATCCAAGAAGCTTCTTCAGTTCTAAATGACTTCTAATGAATGAAATGATGTTCTAATTAATGGTCACAATGTGAGTCGTTGACCCACCTGGCCACCATGTGAGTCGATAGGGTCAGGTGGGACCAGGGGTGAATGGGTGTGAAGTCGTCTGGGGAGGGATCCCAAGACTGCATTGTAGGTGGGTGATAAGTAGTGTCGTTTAATGATGGTCGTTCCAGCTTGACATAGATGGCTTCTTTCACTCCTCTTCGAGACTCCTCGAGTCTTGACCCGAGGAGCTGGCTCTCCTGTGTTGTGCCATGTGCTTGTGGAGTGGTTGTTTTGTCTCCCCAATGTATAAATCTGTGCATTCCTGGCTGCACTGAACTGCATACACTACATTACTCTGCTCATGTCTGGGTGTTTTGTCCTTGGGGTGGACCTAAAACAAAGTGTTTTATACTTCATAAAGGGATAATACAACAACAACAACAACAACAACATACTGCTTAGAAAATCTGTTTTTTTGTAAGTAACTGAAATAACCAGCCAAAGAGGTGATGTGTGCAACAAAGAGCAGTCAACAAGTCAGAGAGAGTCCCAAACTCTGTCCCTTAACTTGTATCATTTCAGTCTAACAGAAAATAATTTCCTGTTCCAAAGTCAGTTTTTACTCACTGAAAATGGGTCCATGTCATTGGTCCGACAGCCCATTGTTCCGACGTCCCGTTGTTCCGATATGTGATTATACTAGGCTATACTGTATTTGTGTACCATAGAGGATCAGCAAGGCAACAAAAGTAGGCTACTGGTCGAGATACAAGTGTCATAGAGAGAAGAGAATGAAACACCATAACCTCCTGTTATTAACTCTGGGGTCCAGGTTGTGTGGGGAGCTCTCCGCGGTGCTGAACGGCTCCCGGCGGGCGTATTTCTACCTTGATGGTGCACCGCGACCGGCTCTGGGTCAGCTGGGAAAGGCTTGAGGTGGAGCAGGCTCACGGCTTATGTGTTTGTTACTTTCTTTTTCATTTTAACCCACACCATGATCTTTTCCTGACCCTAACCAAGTGGTTTTTGTGCCTAAACCTAACCAGACCTTAACCACAGAGCATCATGATGATTTCGGAACAACGGGACTTCGGAACAATGGGTTTAATATGGTCGGAACAATGGGCAGACCCCCTGAAAACAGCAACAACACATACCAGAAACAGTAGCTTTTGCATATGACGTCAAACACTGCAACACTGTCCAGATGGAGGGACTGGAGGCAAAGACTACCAACACTGAACACACGTCTGTGATTTGATCTGTTTACGGCTGTTCACATCGATCAAACTGGGGAAAAACAAAGGCCACTTTAAGTCCTGGTAATAGTAGGCTGTAAAAAGGAGAATTAAAGAAAAGGACTGAAATAACAGCAACAGATACAGAAAAACTCCGCAGTGGAGGAGCAGAGTCGACTAATTTCAAAGCATTGTGTTGAACAGGCCTCAAGTTCCATGTTTTTAGCCACCACAGCCCAGATTTTCAACAGCATTTGACCGGACCTCTAGGAACAGTTGACCGAGCAGGTAGAAAAAAGTAGCAAAAGTTAGCTATCGTTAGCTAGCAACATTAGCCTGACAGCAGGGCATCTATGTGGAGATTTGAGAGACAGTTATAGTGAGGCACATTTACTCACCCGGGCAAAAACAAGACAGCAGTCATTGTAGTCGTGGACCCAGTGGCACATTAAATAGTTACAGTCCACTAAACTGTTGAACGCTTTCATCTGCTCGCTGTGTTCAGATGGGTACTGAAACCTGGTATTATTAAAAACTGTGGTATTGATAAGCTCCGATGGTTCTGCTATCAGTATTGGAGAAATCCAGAAGATATATTTCTTGTTCATTTACATTACATAAATGTTATGTTGTACAGTTTTTATATCACCAACTTCATTTCTAATTTACAATAAGATTAAGACGTTCGTCACTGAAGCGTTTTAGCTATTTAATCCAGAGGAGAGCTCTCTGTGTCGGAGCCTCACAGCCTGCTGCATGTGCGAGGGGCGGGGCCAGCTCTGCCACTCTGTGTCACACATTTACACACACACTTATACACACACACACAGAGGCTGTGCTCTCAGTAACAATGGCAGTGAATAACTCACGACTACATAATAGAGACCAGCTGAACTTTCTTTAAATTCAGGATTCACTCTCCTGCGTAATACCCCGGCCTGTGTCAGTCACGAGAGAGACTGAGATTTGACAGCGCGTAACACGCACACGCTGACGTTTCCTACAGCTCCCACACACCTCAGGTCTCTGTGGACAGACTGAGGTCTGGAGGAACTCACGGTCCTGATTCAGCCTCCAAACTGAGTGTCTGACAGAAAATGTCAAAGTGTCCTAATAAGAACAGAGACAGACAGACACCAGCTGAGCTCTGTGCTGCCTCAGGCCACACTCCTCACTTTCTCCTCAGACGTGAACAGACTTCTCTTTTCTCCATCAGGGAACTCACCGTGAGAGAGAGACAGACAGGAAGATGTCTGCGTGGCGCTTAATATCAGCAGCAGACGTTCAGATCAGAGCTGTTGATCACATGTGAAACTGAATATTTCCCACAATAATTAATCACTGGTACATCTGCTGTTTTGATTCATCTATGCAGGTTCAGATGCTACGTCAGTGCTCATGCTGATTCCTCCTGTGTTCATGCTGCGTGACATAAAGCTGGAGGAGGGAAATTGAAACGGGACATTTTGTCAGGAAAACTGAGCTCGAGGGAACTTTATCTTATTTTTGTGTTTCTCGTCAGAAGTGGAAATTCTTGAGTCCAGTAAGGGTGCTTTCAGACTCGCTAATTTTGTTCCAAAGTTGCATAATTGGACGGAGTTGGTTTGTGTTCTCAAGTGAAAAAGCTGCTCATAATGTGAACAGCATATTTCATTTGGAATTTCAGAATCTGACCTTTTTCTGAAAGTCTCATTTTCCGATCAAGACATGTGGGATGTGCCGATATTATTACCTCCGCCAAGGTGGTTATGTTTTTGCCGGCGTTGGTCTGTTTGTCTGCAAAATAACTCGAAAAGTTCTGAACGGATTTTGATGAAATTTTCAGGAAAGGTTGATAATGGGACAAGGAACAGATGATAATTTTGGTGGTGATCAGTTGAAGCGAAGTGGATAAAATAATAAAATGGCAGGAAATCTGCTCTAGTTTGTGTTTTAATAGCATTCTTTGGACGTGCATACAGCGAGTTCATAATATGTGTCTCAACTGGGATTTTTACTCAGTTGAGACACACAGTATCTTGTCCGTCAGCTCTTTGTGTTGTCATGGATGCACTGTAAACAAAACAACCGCAGGAAAAACACACCTACTTTCAAACACACACTGTTTTTCAGAAAATGTGCAAATATGGCAATGCCAAGCTTTTCAAGATGGTGACTAAAGGAATGAAAGAGACAGGCTGTGTTGGCATGAATGAACAAGTCCGCCACTGGGAATAAACTTGGAAAAAATCCTGTATGATGCAAAAAAGCACAATAACAAGCAGCTGTAGCTGTTCCAAGTTTCTATATTTTGATGTGATAAATGACATGTTCGGCAGGGGCATAAATATAGACAGTGCAGGCAGGATGGTTGCGCTGGGGCCCCTGGTCTTTCAAACAGGGGAAGCTCACTTTAAGTTTACATCATAAAATGTGTCATATTGTAGCGAGGCAGTAACTTATAAAAGGAGCATTTAATTGAAGCTGTTTTTCAACTATATCGCTTATGGAAATAAGGAACTCTGGACGGCACTCTGTCAGAAGACTCCACTCGCAAATATCCGCATGGGACTGAGCTCGAAATGCGACGATGCTGGTGTGTATTTACAAAGCGCTGTCAATCACAAAGGGGTTCAGCCTTTTAGACAGTTCCTCCAATCATCATGCATAAACCGAGCGTCCTCTCCTACCTACCGCTCCGTTAGGTCCCAGGGAAGCTGAGCCTCCCAGGAAGTGACGATTTTGTCGCATTTATCCAATGAGCATCTCGCTTTGCTGCATGAAAAAAACCTGCTCAGCGCTGTCTCATAGGAATGCTTAGAGGCTCTGCGTCCACCGTGCTGACACGAGAATGTATGACAGGGAGGTCACGTTTGAAAACTGGTGATAAACAGCTGACGTTTGAACATCATAGTCATGATGTGAAACGCATCCTAGCGCACGTTTAATGCAATGTAAATTCTTATTTTAATGTAAATTCAATAGTGCATATTTGACCATTTCTTCTATGGAATTTTAGGGGAAGTTCAGCCTCCCTTGTTGTCTCAGAGCAGTCGGCCCTGATGGAAATACGCCTGTTTTTAATAAACAGCTCACGTTAAATCAAAAATGGTGCGATGTTCTCTAAATGCCCCCCAAAAAGGCAAACCCGCCTCAGTCATGGTTTTCTGTTTTTGGAAAATAGCATCACTCTATCACAACATTGCTTATTCCACATAAACTATAAAAATAATTTAACTGTAAATAACCATTTAGTTAAACAAAACATTTCCTATTTTCTATTGTAGTTTTTGTCATGTACAGATATGTAATGATGACTGCTGGTTAATATGGTTGTTGCTGTTGTCCAATATCATGTCTCTGTTTAATCATGTAATGAGACGAGACGATTTACAGCAGCTAGTTTGGGTGTAAAATCTCTCAAGACTGACGAGCTGGGCACATCTGCAAGTGGATACAACATATAAAATATATATACGACTAAAACTCTCTTTCTGTGTACTTCAACTAGTGCAGGGTGCAACAGGTCCTGTCCTAACTACCTTACGCTACTGGTGTTTGGGCTCATTAATCTGAGTATGCACGGCTGCATGTAAACGGGAGTATTGGTGGAATAAGAGCTTAATAGGAATATTGTCTTTTTCAGAATAAAGGCATAAAGCTGAATATTCTGTGCATGTAAACATGGCGACTGATCAAGTGTTGGCATCATTTCATCAGTAAAGTTAACACGTGTCACTGTATGATTTGTCACAGTTACTCGGTGAGGATCGTTTCCAGGACATCGAGAAGATCAAGACGATTGGCAGCACCTACATGGCCGTCTCTGGTCTGTCGCCTGAAAAACAGGTGAGATCCTCCAGGTTTCATCTGAACTCATATCAGTCAGTGTGTTCTAAACCTGCATGCTGTAACAGATGAGCGTGAGCATCAAGGAGGGAATAACGTGTTCTAACGAGGCTCACAAGACACAAACAGAAAGTTGCAAAGAGAAGTCTTTTATGGTTTTCCAAATGTATCTGGTGGACTGACATCAACTCACTGTAGATGGACCTCTTGTCTGTTATGTGTTTTTCTTTATCATTAACTCTCAAAGTATAATGAGTAAAAATTGATTGAATGTATTATGCGCTTGTGTTTTGGGTTTGTGGCATTTGTTACATTTACAAAACTAGATGTCAGAGTTATAGCTGAGCTTGTGCTGAAAAATGACGCCATGCATCTGAGGTAAGGGCACTTCACAAGGTACTTCACAAAACAGAATTTAATGCGAAAAATGAACCAGCATAAACCTTGATAACAGAGGCTTTAACGAAATGAACTCAACTGCATCTTTATTTAGCTTTTATTACAAAGCAGCTTTATGAGAACTTTTATTAAACAAAAGATGGTGTAAAATGAGAAATGTACAATTTAGATGGCTCCATTCATGAATGAAAAATAACTGAAAAGGACTCTGTAGATCTATGGGCAGTATGACGCATGAGTCAGTCCATGCACCCAAAATACGTCAGTGCCTTCCCCGTCCACCGCAGTGACATCAGGACTGTCAGTGTTACACACGAGCAGCAGTTCTGACTGCCAGGTTGGAAACAGTTTTCTCTGACATGGCGACACACTTTATCTCTCAAGTGTCAAATTTCCAGTTTAATCTCTAACACGCTGCCCTCCAGCCGGCCCTGACGTCAGCCCGGTCCTGACGTCCAGCTGACTCAGACTCTTCTTCTCTTCTCCTCTGTGTCCCGCAGCAATGTGAAGATAAATGGGGTCACCTGTGTGCGTTGGCTGATTTCGCCATCGCGCTCAACGAGAGCATCCAGGAGATCAACAAGCACTCGTTCAACAACTTTGAGCTGAGGATCGGTAAGAGCTCTGTGTCATTCAAGGAGATTCATTCTGTTGTCACCTCGACTCCTCATTTGTTGTCTTTTTTTCTGATATAGCAGTAGCGTCTTTTCTAGGATGCTGTGTCTTGTTGTTGTCATGAACTGCTTCATCTCCTCAGCGCTCAGTCAGACATGTTGCATAGTACACAATAAAGTGGTAAATGCAGCTCAGGTTCATTCATTTCAGGTGTGCAAATCAACACCCAAATCTGAACTGTAGCAGATTTACGACTTGTAGAAGCCTGCAGTCCAGTGAGTATCTAAAATGATTGAGCATCCTCTCTAAAGCTGAATCTGTCTTTGGCAGGTATGGCCCACGGCTCAGTGGTGGCAGGTGTGATCGGTGCCAAGAAGCCACAGTACGACATCTGGGGGAAGACGGTGAACCTGGCCAGCCGGATGGACAGCACGGGGGTCAGCGGCAAGATCCAGGTACCCGAGGAGACCTACCTGATCCTGAAGGAGCGCGGCTTTGCCTTTGAGTACCGCGGCGAGATCTACGTGAAGGGCATCAGCGAGCAGGAGGGCAAGATCCGAACGCACTTCTTGCTGGGCCGCGTGCAGCCCAACCCGCTCATCCTGCAGCCACGCAAAATCACCGGCCAGTACTCGCTGGCAGCCGTTGTGCTCGGCCTGGTGCAGTCGCTCAACAGGCAGAAGCAAAAGCAGATCCTCAACGAGAACAACAACTCGGGCATCATGAAGGGCCACCACCACTACAACCGGAGGACGTTGTTAGCACCCGGTAGCTCCGAGGTGGGAGGGGGTCATCACACGGAAGCAGCTGATAAGACTGAGCTGTCCTGAAGAGCAGACTGGAGTTTCAGTTCCACACAGGTTTCTCAGAGGCAGAGCTGCTCTTCAGGCAAAAACAATCCCAGGGGCTGAGTTAAACTTCAGTGGGTGCAGCTTTCCAGCTACGTAACATTAAAGCAGGTGGAAGTTCTTTAGGAGTCGTAGCAACTTTAGCATTCCAGTACTGAAAGCTTCGCCTGGTTCCAGACGTCTGAATGGCAGCACATAATATCTCTGAGTTCAAGTTGATCTGGTGTTGTGCTCATTGACCAACAGCTCTGTAGGCAGGGCTAATAAAAGGAACATCGTGTTCCTGTATCAGAGCCAGGAATCTATTTCAAACAGAAATGACAAAAGTGAGGATGACACTGATGCTTTGGCAAGTCCTTTAACATTTAGGGCTGACTAGTAACGACTTGTGTGTCAGCTCTATGCAGAGCCTACGCCTACACTACACTGTTGTGTGCATTTATAATTGCGCAGTGGCGTGTCAGTGTCACTCTGCAGTCACACCTTTAAAACACTAGTTGGTGATGGGGTTTCTGTAAAGTTCTGTTGAGTTGAGTTGATTCAAAACACACATTAAACACACATTAAACACAGATTAAACACACATTAAACACAGATTAAACGCACATTAAACACAGATTAAACGCACATTAAACACAGATTAAACGCACATTAAACACAGATTAAACACAGATTAAACATGGCTTTATAGCAACAATTTCAAACACAAATCAGCTTCACTATAACTTTCAGCATTCACAGAAAAAGTTGTTCCCACATATACAACTTGTTAATGTTATTAGCATAAGCCTATGGCATTTTACATTTTATGAATTAGTGAGAATAAAGTTTTGGTTATCTTGAATTCCATTTATGATATCTGTAATGTAAGAACAATTGCAAATAGTAAGAAATGAATTACTGATATCAACAACTGATATTTCAGTTGGAAAGAACTGAGTTATAAATCTCATTAATTTGACCTGCAACTAGTCAAAATTACATTATTGATATGTTGGCTTGGAATCATTACACAGTGTCGTAACTGGATGTGACGTGAGCTAACGTTTTGTCAGACACCCTGTTTGTATTTTAATTCTGTTGCTTGTGTTGAAAGCACTGCAGTGGACGATCCATGTTGGTTAAATGAGGAGTGACCTACAGGATAACTTCTTATTTCACTACCAGACTGATAAGCTGGCATCTGGCTGAAGGGAGATCATCAAGCAGATGAATGTTTCTGGTTATAATTGTGTGGAATGCTAGCAAGCTAGCTCTTTTACAAAGTAGAGATATAGTATGGAAGCTACAACAATGATATCTTCAAGTTGCCTGCAATAGTATTACTGTGAATATGCATAAGAAGGAGGTACGTCCTCACCCGTCTCTTCAGTGGTTACTCTGAGGCCACAGCTGCCGTGGTTTGTTTACATGACGTGGCGAAGTTCAATATTTAACATATTCAGTTTGGACAGAGAGCGCTCGACGTAATGCGATGCAGCGCGATCGTCTGACACTCACATCCAGTTAGGATGCCATCTAACAGGTCAAAATTGAATAGTTGATAACTGGGACTGAGTTTGAATAGAAGTCAGTGGTGAAAGTTGACAAATTGTAGTTAAGTTACAGATATCTGCAATGAAAATTTCCACTAGTAAGAAACTGCTGATTGTTGATATCAAGAATTAACATTTTGACTACCTTCTCTGATTAACATTTGAGACGAGTGAGACTTGTAGATACCTTTAATTAAAATTCCCACTCGTCAAAATGACATTATAGATTTGTTGATTTGAAATTCTTACTAGTCAAAAAGCAGTTGTTGATATCCACATTTGCTATCACCACCTCTGATTAAATTAAGTAAAAGGGCTTGTCATAATGCGCCTTCTATTTCGACTGACAGTGGTGTAGACGAGATAAATACATTCGTCGCTCCTTGTTAGGGTAAAATGGAATCCATTATTAGGTTCCAGCAAACCCTCTGTTATTAATGCTTTAATCATGGTTCTACAAAGGTATTCGTAAACATTGCCATCAGTCTGCACAGAGAAAGGGTTTTATGGGTTGCAGAGGACGGGTACGTCTCCCAAATCCTAAGACTTCGGGCCCATTTTACAAAAGCAGTTTGCGAGAGCTGCTTCCACACAGTTTGCAAATGGCGGTGGCATGGATGGCAAATTGCAGCTCAATTTGTGAATCCTTTAGAGCTCTAATATGCTCATGCATGACTCATAAGTATGGTGTTTGTTTGGTGTGATTAACGATGTAAATTGCAGCTTGCATATTGCAAATTAGGTGAATCAAGCCCCTGAGCATTAAACAAGCTGATTGGATGATCCAACTCCTGTTGCGACATAATGGACAAGAAAACACTGAAGTAATCTGTATATAGATAAAACAAACAACCACACGTCTCCCTGTACGTTCAGCTACGTGCAACCCAGAGAAGCACATTCCAGCTTTGGGGAACTATCAGCGCGATAGAGCCATGTTTGAATGTGTGGGTCCCAGTTTTGTTTGTTCTTGGATGCACATGCATGCAGGTGGCAAAATTAAGTCCAAAGGAACAGCGTCAGGCTTCGAAGCCAATTTTATACGTCTGGATCCGTTGCATGATGCCATTGCGCCCAAAAATACTTTTTCCCATAGACTTACATTGTGAAAGAGACATCTGCAAATCAGTGGATACCTTTTTCTGAGTGTCACAAACCCCACAAAATGACTTGTTTCACCATCAGAGTTTGCTCCATTCGGTCTGATAACTTTCCAAAAGTCTAGAAGAACCGAATGATTAAATTACTTTAACCCCATTATGTTAGCAGAGGGTTAAACAGGAAGTTAGCCACATGGCTGGCTAAGTCTCTGTTGCACTTGCTCTATCGGCCCCACAATGTGGAAGATCTGGGTAATTTCACACCCAGGAAGTCGAACAGTTTTGGCTTTATGCACCACTAAGTAACTTTTATAAGAATGAACCGGTACAAAAACACCCGCCTCTCTTGCTCACACACTGTCGCTCAGGAAAAAGTGATTTGGACGGGCAAAGGAGTGTGTGTGTGTGTGTGTGTGTGTGTGTGTGTGTGTGCGTGTGTGCGTGTGTGTGTGTGTATGTGTGTGTGTGTGTGAGAGAGACGCATCCTGTTTGTGAGTCTCTCCTTGTGTGTGTTTGTGAGAGTGAGAGAACTGAAAATCCAAAGCAAGGCTGTTTGCGATATAGTCATTTTGTACATGGTATGAGGAACAAGCCGAGATACACTGAGTATATTTGATGTATCGCCCGCCCCTTTGTTGATGTAAACAACACAGGTTCTAAATTAAAGAGAAATCAACCTTCCATTTGAGCGTTTGATGAGGAAGGAGTTTGTTAGACCTCAAGGAAACACTCAATGTGTTCTGTTGAGAAACACTGAATGTTAACAGAAACTTGTTTACAGGAAAACTTCACTGGCCTCCATTAATCGTACAACCAGGTGAACGCAAGGTATCGGGAAAGAAAAGTTGCTACTTAGTTATTTCAGATGAGTTGGTTGTTGAGATCAGCTACAGCCTGAACGTGAACCAGTCTCACATCACCTTTCAACATCATGAATATCCTGTCAGAACGAATGAAGTCACTTGCGTATTTTAAAAAAGTTACTTCGTTTTTCAGGTTGCAAGTCAGTTTCTCTGACTCCTCCCACTCAGGTGTAACTCAACCAGTGAGATTGTTTCTGCCTCCTGAAGCTGCTCTGCTTTTGACAAATGTTTGTAGAACTGAAACTCCACTTTGTGAAGGAGGAAGAGGAGAGCGATGAAGAGGAGAGCAATGAAGAGGAGGAGGAGAAGGTGTTGGGGTAGGGAGGGAAGGAGGGGGGGAGTGGACGGGACCACTGCGTTCTGTTTCCATCCTGCCTCGTCTGTTTGATGTCTGTTGGAATGATCCCCTCGGACTGTCCGACGTTCCTCCTGTCGTTTCCCACTTCCCCTTTTTATGTCGCCACCGACCCGCTCCCCGCCCAAAACCCAGAATCCCTGTCCCGCTCTGACCCTCGCCTGGAGTCGATGTTTCTTTTTTGTATTTCTTTTATATATGAAAACACAATAAAAGGGGTCTAATTTTTTATATGAGCCACGTGTCTGGTCGCCTTTATTTTGTCACATTTGCAGAGGTTCTACTGCAAAGAAGCATCCTACGGTCAACTCTGCTCATATACAAACAGCAAATTAATTTTGTAAAATATTACCTTGTATTCATGCTTTTTTACCATTTTTCTCACATACAGCATATTTTGGAACAAGTCACATGATTTCTGTAATGTGCAATCAGACATTCATTTCAGGCAGACAAACTTTATTTACATGTCACCTTTCAAAACAATGTTTCAAATGAAGAACAAAATTAGAACAATTTTGCACACCAGTTAAATAAAATCCAGTAAATAAAAACACGGTACAGACGCCCTGAAAGGCATGTTTTTTTTGTTTGTTTGTTTCTTTTATGCAGGCAATCTTGGTCAAAATGAAATATCCTGTGTGTAGGACATAAACTTTATTTCCCGTAATTTTTGTTCACCTTGCGCAGAATAAAACAGAATAAAATATGCATGAGTAGTTTCACTTCACACACACTCCCTAACATCCAGATCAGAACTAAACTACAACTTCATTTTCCATGACCAGGGGTCGGCAGCCTTCACTATCAAAGAGCCATTTTTGACCAAAAGTGATTTTAAAAATCTGTCTGGAGCTGCAAACATATTAAGCCTTATAATGAAGGTAACACAGCCTTTTAAATCTAATTAAGCCTGTCAACGTTACAAAAGTCTGTGGCTGCAGAGTCCATGACAAACTGGGATTTTTTGTCATTCTTTGGCACAAAGCCTCGTTAAAGAATCACAGGTTTTCCAGGTGGTCTGAGAACCCTGAATCCTCTCTCTACTACATCATATTTTCACTTTGATGCAGAAAATATCAGAATCACAGCAGTGAGAAAGAACCAGAGAAAGAACTGTGTCTTCTTCTTGAAAAGGTTCTGATGAATCACATCGTCAGACGAGCGTGAAGAGGAGGAGCTGGACGTGAAAGCAGACACCTGCTGGACGGTCCCAAACCATCTGGACTCAGACTGCCTGAGCTGACGGGTGATTATCAGATTCACACCTGATGGTCTGCACTGCTGTTCTTTATGATTTGAATACATAGATGTATAATATCTTCAAAAACAGATCTAGACTAAACAGACTGAAGTTTATCAGTGAATTGTGTGAAGAAGTTTCTTGACTTGAATGGACAGTTTATATCCCAAATGCAGTCGACCGTGTAGCTTTTTTCAACAACAAAAATTGTGTTTAATTGAGCACTGAAGCCGTTTTGGTCGTCTTTTGTTCATGTTATAGCCATTTGCACTTTGCATGAAGTTCTAGTGACAAATCAGTGTATTTCTGGTGTTTCAGAGACGACCAACAAGCTGTACGAGCTGCTTTTATCAAATGTTCAGTGACTTATCGATGCACTGGGCAGGATGTCTTTGGGTCTTCAAAAAGGCTTTCACCTAGGGAAAAAAAACTTAGTGTCTTCAGATCCCAAAAGGGGCTCAACTTATTGTAGGTGTAAAACATGTGAAAGCAAAGTGAATATTTAG